ATTTCTTCATCCCTTTTTCCTTTAGGCTTAGAACTTGTGTCTTAACTGTACTGACTTAAGAAATAAAAAAGACACGAAATTTACTCCCTTTAATTAACATTTCTTTGTATATCCACATATAATATCCATAAAATAATTTTAAAAATCTAATAAAAGTAGTTGTAAATGAGTAAACGAAACTGACATGCTGTGAATTATATTGGTTGTCATGAGAAAAAAATAAAGTTAATTATAGACATGATCCTTTGCAACAGATAGACAGGCAGAGATGGGCAGAGTTAGGGATGGATGAATAGATAAATAGATAAATAGACAGATATAGAGAAAGGGGGAATTCCAGGAGACATCCAGGTCCCCTCAAGGCCACGCCCATTAAGTAGCAGGACAGCCAGTCATACTCCTGCTGTCGGGTAACCAATCACGGATGACCTTTCCATAACCGTGATGAGTATATGACCCAATCAGCTGTCGCCACAGAACACGGCCATGCGATGATAATGTGTTGAAACTAATGAAAGTACATACTAGAACCTTCTATTCCCATCCGTGTGTAAAGTCGTGTTGAATTATGTTATATGTGTAAGTCTGCCAGGGATGAAGTGGTAACTGTGGTGTCTAATGAGGCACAGGTTTCACCATTGTTTATTGAGAACATTCTGTGTTGATTGGGTGGGCAAATGTAAGTATGAAATAAATCACGGTTATGGAATGGATTTATACAAAAAATAAGTAAATAAATAAATAAGGGCACGTACGTCTCCTTCTCGTAAGTACAGTTACACTATAATCTGACCTGTGGTGGGAAATTTGAGTAGCGTCTATAGCAGGGTTACTCAACTTTTATAAGCAATGGTCCAGTTAGATAAGTTCCACTATATGAAGAGGTCCGGATAGATATTTTACGTGCAATCGTGAAAATAAAACCACCAAACCACCAATATGAGTACTCTATTATTTTCATTTCACATTCACTCTTCGACTTATTGATACAAAATATAAAGCTAACTAGTGGATATCTAAAAAAAATATTCAATTTTGTAGCTAAAATATAACAGGACTTGGATATTTTTCTCTAAAAGCAATTATGGAGAAATTTCAAATGGAAAAAATATAAATTTACTGTTTAATGTAGTGCTACTTCATTTTATTTAATTATATTTTTCTCCTCCTGGAGCCTGGGGTCCCGCTACAACACTCAAAAGGTAGAGCAGCCCTGATCTATGTACATAATATTTTGCCACATCCCTACATGCCTTCTTAGTTTATTATGAGACTTAGAAGCTCGAGTAAATCTTTGCAGCTTCCTGTTGCCATCTCTATTGCCTATTGCCTGTTGAAGAAATAAAATAAAGTGAAAAAAAGAAAACTAATATCAAAATTAGCACAAAAAATCTGGAAAAATCTCATACTGGCTCTTGTGAATTTCTCTTGTTCTGGAGTTTCTTACGTGTTTCATCAGAAATTCTTTTCATCCTTTTTAATCTAATAAAAAAAAATACGACTTCTATATAGAGTCTAATCAGTGTTTCGGTTATTGACCCATGTATTGGACACAAGAGACGTTTGGTAGTCTCCTTACATGATTTAAAAAAATGCCTAACTGTGGGTTTGCGCGATAAGCTGCATGCTCCCTGACCCGCTTGTAATGTATTAGCACCCGTTCCCTATTACTGTTCTCTATGGTGGCACTGAGGCTGAACAAAGTTACTTATTTGTTATATTTAATTGCATTTGAATGAAAATTTCTCAGAAGCAAAGACCAACAGATCTATTCCTGTATTAAATTTTCTTATCTAGCACCAAGAAGGACATAATGGTAGGTTAGTATGATGGTGAAGAGAGATGGTGACCACTTTAATCACTGTGAGGAACGCAACGGGAAGCTCACGAACAATAAAAAGCGGACCAGGAAGGGAGGGAGGAAGAAGAGCGAAACAGGGATGGGGGGGAGGGTGAGAAAGGCGAAACAGAGAGAGGGAGAAGAAGAAAATCGTAACAGCGAGGGCGGACGGAGACGAAACAGGGAGGGAGTAGGAGTGTAAAGGACGCTCGTACATTAGAATTGGTGAATGCTATAAACACGGCGAAAGCAAGAATAACCACAGTAGAATAATAGACAGATTGCATCGGAGTTATCCTTTTTCTCCCAAAACAAACTAATGCGAGAAAACTTGACCTATATTAGGTCATTCAACACGGCCTTGAAAAAAAAAAATAAAAATAACAATCACGTGCCTGGTGCTTGAATACCAAGGCCTATATAAGTAGTCTTGTCAGTTGAAACTTCTATGCAGGTTTGACTAATAAAACCTATGACATCACATGGGGTAGGCTGAGAATGTGTGTGTGTGGGGGGGGGGGGGTGATTCGAGAATGGTAGTTTGGGTCAAGGGGATAATAGAAAATGGTAGCCAATTCAGCGCAAACTAAAGTATTTTTTAGACGCTGGTTTATGCCCACGATTTGTAAATTGGACTGGTTTTACAGGCGATGATTGACA